ATCCAGCACTGTATTTAGCTACAAATTTACGCATCTATAAGAGAGAAATAAAAAGTAAAATTAGGACTATACCTTTCCTTTATCCAAAGCACAACAACCCTTAATAACTTGCTTAATCATTTATACAGAATATTGTAAATGGATGCTTACACTACTAAATTAAAAATGAAATGAAATGAATGGAGTTTTACGTCCTACTTTTCTGCACCATGTGGGCTAATGAAGACGGGCAACGCCATGCAGGGTGCAATTTGGGAAATTTTGCCAGGACAGCGGCATAAGCCTGCTCTTGTTCGATTTCCAACTGTCGAGGTATCTTTAACGTGCACAGCCTGTAGCACACGGGGCCTCGGTTTATTGCCCCATCCGAAAGGACTAGACGCTTTTTCCATGTCAGCCCCTCTTACTACCAAATTAAAGCAGTGAGATAATCTTAGTGTGCTTGCCCTAGTAGGATGATGGTGTGATAATAAATTCAGTGTGCTTATCCTACTAGGATGATGGTGTGATAATAAATTCAGTGTGCTTATCCTACTAGGATGATGGTGTGATAATAAATTCAGTGTGCTTATCCTACTAGGATGATGATGTGATGATAAATTGAGTGCGCTTACCATACTAGGATGATGGTGTGATAATAAATTGAGTGTGCTTTTCCTTCTAGGATGATGGTGTGATAATAAATTCAGTTTGCTTACTCTACTAGGATGATGGTGTGATAATAAATTCAGTGTGCTTACCCTACTAGCATGATGGTGTGACAATAAATTCAGTGTGCTGACCCTATTCAGATGATGGTGTGATAATAAATTCAGTGTGCTTATCCTACTAGGATGATAATGTGATGATAAATTCAGTGTGCTGACCCTATTAGGATGATGGTGTGATAATAAATTCAGTGTGCTTATCCTACTAGGATGATGGTGTGATAATAAATTCAGTGTGCTTATCCTACTAGGATGATGATGTGATGATAAATTGAGTGTGCTTACCCTACTAGGATGATGGTGTGATAATAAATTCAGTGTGCTTACCCTACTAGGATGATGGTGTGATAATAAATTCAGTGTGCTTATCCTACTAGGATGATGGTGTGATAATAAATTCAGTGTGCTTATCCTACTAGGATGATGGTGTGATAATAAATTCAGTGTGCTTACCCTACCAGGATAATGGTGTGATAATAAATTCAGTGTGCTTTTCCTTCTAGGATGATGGTGTGATAATAAATTCAGTGTGCTTACCCTACTAGGATGATGGTGTGATAATAAATTCAGTGTGCTTATCCTACTAGGATGATGGTGTGATAATAAATTCAGTGTGCTTATCCTACTAGGATGATGATGTGATGATAAATTGAGTGTGCTTACCCTACTAGGATGATGGTGTGATAATAAATTCAGTGTGCTTACCCTACTAGGATGATGGTGTGATAATAAATTCAGTGTGCTTATCCTACTAGGATGATGGTGTGATAATAAATTCAGTGTGCTTATCCTACTAGGCTGATGGTGTGATAATAAATTCAGTGTGCTGACCCTATTAGGATGATGGTGTGATAATAAATTCAGTGTGCTTATCCTACTAGGATGATGGTGTGATAATAAATTCAGTGTGCTTACCCTACTAGGATGATGGTGTGATAATAAATTCAGTGTGCTTATCCTACTAGGATGATGGTGTGATAATAAATTCAGTGTGCTTACCCTACTAGGC